TTATTAATTATAATTTATTAAAATTGATTAATATTTATTAGTTATAATTAAAGTAATTATAACTAATTATTTTAATTAATTTTAAATGAGATATAATTAATTATTTTAATTAATTATAATTATTAATTAAAAATAATTATGATTAGCAAATTAATTATAATTACTTAATGTCAATTATAATTAATTTTAAAAGAGATGGGTAATGTCTCTCTCCCTCGATCCGCGCCGACGACCGCCAAGGTATAACGCCTAAATCCTAAAATTCCGAGAACCCGTTTCAATGCATGCGTCCAGACAAAACGACCACCTATACACGCTTTTCTTAGCGTGGTGGGAGGACACGCGTCCCGACGCTTGCGACGAAGCGGATAATCACCTAAATCCCTTCTTCGAAGTTCGTATCGCCATGGATTTCCCCGCCTATACACTCTTTTCTTAGCATGGTGGGATGAGAACCTGGTGCGATGCATACGACGAAGCGGGGATACCCATAAGTACCCGCTTGCGGGGAAATAACTGCTTTTCTTGCAAAATATAAAAAAAAAAATACTTTTTTGCAAAATAACCATACATGCTTTTCTTAGCGTGGTGGGGGATCGAAAAATACACGGCCGCGGTGTCCTCGAAAGAGGGCACCTACCATACACGCTTTTATTAGCGTGGTGGGAAAGGCCCAGTTTTTCGTAGTTTTCCCCTAAACGGTACGCCGGAAGGCTGCCGAAATTTCGGGTGAACATAATGCTACACTTGGACATTGATTGGAGCATCAAATGGACTTAATTCAAACAATCAAATAACTTCAAATGCAAACGAAGCAAAGAATGGCTCGAATTCAAGTGAACTACAGGGGACTTATGAACTCGGACCGGATTTAACAACAGTGAACAATTTGAACATGCAATCAAACTTGCAAAGACGCAGAGGACTTGTACTTGGACTTTTGGACATAATACAAAGATTTATAACTTAAGAAAGATAAAGTTGAAATGAGAACTTAACATGAGCTCAAATTTGAACATCATTTGTACACTAATTGAGAATGATTTGGACAATCCGGATTCGAGCAAGGATTTAATCCAAACAGCAAAGAATCCATCTTGAATTATACTTGAACTTGAATTCGAATAAGATGAGAACTTGAATTCAAATGAATAATGCGGAAAATCAAGCTCTAATTCGTTGAATGTATGAGCAAGATAAAATATAAATGTTGATCAATAAATATGATCATGTAAGCAAAGATCAGCAAAGGGATTGAAGACTCATGTTGAAGCCTTAGCAAGCATGATTGTTATTTTGCTCACAAGCAACATGAATGTGACAAACTCCTATGAGCACAACTACAACTCATTTGCAAGCAAAATGAAGACTCATGATGTAAAAATCATAAGTTGTGATTCAAAGTATTCAAATGAACATTCATCGATGAGACTAAAGAAAATTGACATGATCAATCAATCAAGCTACGAGCAAGGAGGAGGAACTTGTAATACAATCATTCGTCCTATAAATGAAATCAAAAGGCTTGCAATAACATCAATCACCAACCCACAAAAATATGCAAGAAGAGTATGGTAAGGATAATGGCAAGTTCAAAAGAGACATGCAACAAGTGAGATATTAATGGGTCGTCACATTGATTGGAATGCAAATGCTGATTAAAGCTCTATATTATTTGACTGAACAGTAATAAGCATGAGAAGCTTGAACTTGGAATTTGAATGATAAGTAACAAGAACTGTGAGCTGAACTATGAGATGTTGGGTCCCACTTACAATATGCAGATGTAGGATGAGGTCAAAATTCTCAAGTGCATGAAACGATTCATCTACGAGTAGTATAGTGATATGTTCATAAATGAAATTTGGGAATCTAATAACGCATCTACAATGGACATGGTAAATATAGAAGCTTACAATGATTGTTCATACCACCTGGGATAATATCGTAGCAATCATACATTCTTATTACCCACAAGCATAAAGGAAGTGATCATTATAGTATTATGGAGCTAACATTGAGCAACACACAAGTAACTAGAGCAGTTCTCTATGAACGAAAAGACCAAGTGCAATTTAGTACTAAGCAAATACATCAAATCCTCGCAAGCAATGAAAATTGGAAGGGTATATATATTTTTGATTCCAAGCAAAGATCAACGGTACAAGTCCACCACGTTGACCAAAAGCAAAATACAGAAAAGTTTCAATAAGTGCAAGCTCCTACGACCCAAAGCAGGAGACTCGTTAGTGCACTACAATCCACCTGCAGAAAGCAACGAGTAGTGCACAACAGTCTACCTATACAAAGCAGCGAATAGCTCTATTCAGAAGCTGCTACGCCACGCCACCGGATCCGCGACGTTCTTGGAAGCCAACAGAAGGCGTTTTACAAATATTCCAAAATACCCTCGCACATGCACTGTAGTTTGTACACATTTAGGTACACTAAAAGAGGGTATACAATCAACACCCGCATGGGCCCCGACGAGCGTGTCATTGATACACACGTGACGTCTAGGGATGCTGCGTGGGTTATCAAATTTTAAACCCGATCTTCCTTAGCAGGTAAAAATCTGACTAAGTAGACCAGGGACCACGATAGCCCGGGACGACAGAACCATGGGATCTTGATCGGGTCTATCATCCATTCCCCCACCATCCGCTTTAAGTGCAAGATGGTACAATTTCTATTTTAAATATCAATTTTTCCAAATATCAATTATTCAAATTCCAATTTCTAAATCTCAAACCCATGCTGCTACTATATACCAGATAACACGTATTTCTACGTATCTGATTGACGACTAGCCTTAATCGAAAGTTCTCTCTCGTGATCGAGAGGGGTAATTAACTATAGGGGCTTGCGCCTATAGGAAACCAGAACTCAAATCATAAAGTCCTCGCAAAATGAGGGCGAAATCTTTGGGTAGTGTCTTATCTACAAACCCATCTGCCTTCCAAAATTTACCTCGAAACTTATCAGTTAAAACTCCCTCGCTGAATAAAAAGAAAAGCGAGCGGAGGCCGGGGCTGAATTTTTAAAGCTTGTTACAAGCAAAGCATTATGATATTCACATTTTAGCTACACGGCAGAAAAACACCTAACCCTGTTTGATTTCTGTATCCAAACATGAATTACACTTCCTTCTTATTCTATCATCCATGTCCATACCAAAAACAACCCTGTTTTTTATTCCAAATTCCTCATAAATACTATTTTAACACTATCTCTGTATAAAAAGTTCTAACTTCCATAATCTATGAATGCAAACACCACCATCGTAGAAATTTTTTTATTTATTTCCACAACAGTTAATGACTTTAATCAGCATTCTTTACAGTTCTACACTAAGAACTATAAAAACATTGCGGTTCATATTGCTACTAATAATTTTGCTTTTTAAAATCTATCACAATCATCCATCAAAAATCACCTAAATAAACTTTTGAGCTAGAATGTCCAGAATAAGAGCCTTACCTTCCTCTGCATGCTGTCAGACATTTTTTTTCTGATAAGGCCAGGGCCGGTGTCATATCTAGCCTGGCCATCCCAACTCTCCCTAGAATGATCCAGAGCATCTTCTTCACATCCAATTAAGTAACTAGACCCTCCATATTTATGTTTATTGATAATTGGAGCCCTTCTTGTTGGAAAGTTAGTAATCTGCTTCAAAGATGAGGGTGGTTTGCCATTCAATTTACCAATCCTTCCATCCATCCTTGAAAGCGTTACATTATCATGATGAACATATGAAAGAGGCTGAGAGCCATGTCGAGAAAAAGTTCTATACATACTGGACTTTTCTTCCGATCTTTCTACAGTATGCTTAGGGCGAAAGCGCTTACTGCGTTTGCGTTTTAATTTAGGTTGTATGACCTGCTCATCATCACCCTCATCATGATCATGATTCCAACTACCAGACTGTTGAATGTCTATGTAAGAATCGCCAGATACAGCAATTTCACCTTCCTCCAGCTCATTTAGCTGCACAATGACAAAAGATTCATTTCACAAGGCAATTAAGAATAAAAAAAAATAACCAGCTTCCTTTGAACAACTCATTTAATTGAAATATGACAAAAGATTCATTTCACATGGCAATTAATAGAAAAAACAAATTGTTAAAGATTCATTTCACAAATATAGCACCTTCGACGAAATAACGCCTGGCCGAGCATCTAATTCAGAAAGAGATCCAAATTTTCGTAGAGACATGGAAGGGGTAATATGCTGCTGCACTCTTCTGTTTCCAAAAGAAGATCCGGTGGAGCCAGCTTCCTCACAGATATGAGTATGTCTGCTTCCCTCTGTAGCATCTGGGAATTCATAACCAGCACCATCACAAACTAATTCTTCATCTTCCAAAGGATCTTTGATGTTTCCTTGTAAAACAGCAGCACCGCTTAAATCTTCATCTTCAATATATCCTATTTCTCTATCTTCCTCTCGTAATGAATACTCATTCCCTTCCTCTGAGCTAGCATCAAAATCTTCTCCATCTTCATCATCAAATTCCACATAAGACGAATATTTTTGTGTTATCACACCTTTTGGCCGTCCCCTTTTTCTCTCTATTTTGCTAAGGGATGAACCAGGTATCATCTCACTAGACTCCAAGTCAACAACACTGCCTAAGATGTTCTTTGATGGCCTCTTATTTAGTTTTGCAATAAAAGCATTTAGTTCCTTAGAGCCAGCCCGTAGCCACAATGGAACCTGATTGTGCTTTGTCATCTCTCCTGCCCAATCAAGCTCCTCATCCATTTGACCAAATAGCTCAACTTCGTCTTCACTACGAGCTATCATACGGTTTACCTCCAAGAGGGATGGAACATCATGGACTGTTTCTTGATATCTTTCTTCATCATGCAACAATGTCTCCAAAGTCATTCTCCTTTCTTCATGTGTTGTCCTCTGATCAAAACGACCAGCATTTATAACCTCATCTGCCATGTCAATTTTATACTGTTGAATGTTATTTCGTATAAGGCTTTCAATTGAACCCATGTACCGATGTTTACCAGCAAGATCAACTTCTGAATCTCCACTTCCACCATTTCTTAACTCATCCTCTTTTTGATAGCTTGAAATATTGTCAACAACTGCTTCCATATATATAACTTTGACCTCCCTCTTTTGGCCTATGCGATGAGCTCTAGCTACTGCTTGTTCTTCATTCTGAGGATTTGGGTCCGGATCATAAATAATAACTGTGTCTGCAGTTTGGAGATTCAAACCTCTTCCTGCAGCACGAATGCTAAGCAAGAAGATAAAACTATCAGAAACAGGGCTATTAAAATCAATAATAGCTGATTCACGGTCTTCTAAGCTAGTTGTTCCATCAATTCTTCTATAGACAAGTCGACGCCATTGTAAATATTCCTCTAGAATATCAAGGAGTTTGGTCATGGTACTAAAAAGAAGAACACGATGCCCTGTTTTATGTAGTTTTAGGAGAATCCTATCAAGTATCCAGAGTTTCCCGCATGATCTAATAAGAAACTCTTTTGAATAATCATTGAAATAAGGGTAGTTGAGCAGAGGATGATTACAAGCTTTCCGCAACTCCATGCATTTGTTATTAAGATTCTTATACATCTTAATCTGGTAGTTTGGATTCTTCTCAGCCTTCCGTAACTCATCATCAGGGTCTACCCTAATGGTACCAGTTGATTTAATCCAGTCATATATGGCACCCTGTAAAGCTGACATTCTACACCTCAAAACAATTGAGACCTGTAATCATGCATCAAGTAAAATTAATATCAGTATCAGCCATACAAGAAGCTCAAAGATGCAATAATGTAGGTAAATAATTACCTTGGGAGGAAGTGACCCCTCCACATCTTCAACACGTCGCCTAAGCATGAAAGGTTCCAGAATTTGATGAAGCCTGTGGATGACAATCACCTTCTTTTCAGTTTCAAGCCAATCATCCTCCAGTTGGTTATGTGATGGGCCATCTTTCTGAAAGGGCTTTGAAAACCAATCATGAAATGCTTTTCGATTGTCAAATACTTCTGGTAGTAGTAGATTTAAAAGTGACCAAAGTTCCTTCAAATCATTCTGTCAAAAGATTGATATAATCAAAAAGGAAAACAGTTTCTCTTTTTGTGATGTTATAGTAAATAAACTAAGTAAGACTAGCTTTTATTGTATAACATTTCACCATGAATAAAGCATTAACAAGAAAGAGAAATTGACTTGTATCATCCATAAAAAAAACTAATGTAAACTACATGCATGTGGCAATGCTGAATACATGAAACATCAGTCAGAAAATATATAAGAAATATACACCTGGTACTGTGGGGGAAAGTTATTGAATCTAGAGCCACATGAAAGACGCTATTGGTGTACTAGTTATTAAGTCTGAGAATATATAACTATAGTACAACTGTCTGGTATGCATAAGTTATTGGATTAAGGACTATCATAAATATTTGATCATTAGCCATACCTGTAAAGGTGTGCCAGTAAGCAACAATCTTCTTTGGCAACGATACCTATCAAGATCCCGAGCTAAAACAGACTCTCTGTTCTTCATACGTTGGGCTTCATCAATAATAATATACTTCCAATCAATTCTTGATAACTTGGACCGATCATACATGATAAACTCATAGGTAGTCACAAGTATATTATATTTCATAGCACAAACCTCCTGAATAAAAATAAGGAATGTATAAGCTCAACACAAAATAGCATACAAGGAGAAAGTTTGAGGAAATTATGATGAAAAAAATAAAAGTAGATTGAGACAATGCCTTGAATTGATCAACATGACAAGGATAGAACGCAAGTCTTTATCAGTCTTGTATAAGCAATGCATTCCCTGGCCTCTTAATAAAGTAGAGAGATTTTAAGTTTCATAAACACTTATCATCCATCTCTTCTTTAATAATATATGTCTTAAGTTTTAAGCATGTCATATGCACAAATCTTTCAGAAAAAAGTACATAAATGCGCGCATATATGTTTTAAGTGGTGGCAAATTTTCTTCTTAATGCGGAAAATAAACTGAGAAGAGATTGTATACTGAGAAAGAGAGAGAGAGAGAGAGAGAGAGAGAGAGAGAGTGTGTGTGTGTGTGTGTGTGTGTGTGTGGAAGATGAACTCAGTTAATGAAATGAAACAAGAGGGGAGTTTGGTTGAGGGAGAGGAAGAACTTAGAGTTTAAGAAGGTAGAAAAGAGATTCATAACAGATATAGAGTAAGTGGGTTGGTGGGTTGGAAGAGAGGAGTTTGGCTAAAGAGTGAGAGGAAGATCTTTTGGGATTGAGGTTTTTGTGCCACCTATATCTTACCTTCATGTGAGTAGTGCTTCCTTCAACATCTGTTGCAGAAGATTTGTGGAACTTTTACAAGACTATTTCTAGTTGTGGCATATTTCATAGACTATAGTTGGCTAATAACTTCTATCCTATGTTCCTTCTGCGGGATTTCTGTGACTAGAGACCTTACGACAGGTATGATTATTGTGTCCTACTATGCGAAACTTTAGATTCCTTTTCATTTTGCAATAGTTTGGCAACTTCTTTTGCACCAATTATAATAATGATGTAATAATTAGAAAATAATGTAAATTTGTCACACAAAGAAATATAAATAGGATTCATACATAAATAATATCTTCTATAATCTTAAATTTAAATACCTTGAATCATAAATTTAACTCATATTTAATATAAATTTAATTCATATATAAGCTTATAAAATTAATAAAAATTATCACTAATTTCTATTATATATTTAGATATAATTTACATCTATAGATTTTGTACCTATTTCACATTATAAATTTGGATTTATATAACATTCATGAATTTATTTAACTATTTAAATGGCTCAATAATTAACCTAACCGATTTTCGAAAATCGGGACCAATTCGTTGGTTACATGGTCGAACCAACAATTCACTCCAATTTTGACTGGTCCAAAGCTAAAGTGGTTCTCGCCTTTTAACGGATCGGTTACACGATGGTTCCTAGTTCAACTGATTAAACTAGCCAATTAGGTCCATTTTTTTAAACACAGGTATTCCTTTTACTTTATGCTCGTTATTCTTCAAGCAAATCAAACCAAACAGCCCTTGAGACATTGAGATTGCAGCAGTGATAATTTCTTTTGCAAACAACCCTTTTAGAAGCCATTTATCTTCAGCGTCTGTTTTATAATCAAGTTGATGCAAGGACAAAAACAAAGCATGCATGCATAAGTGTAAGCCCTTCTATTATTTTCAGAAAGCAAGTATATGAACTAGAATAGAAGCTGGATGAAATTGATGATAAGTGTTCATGTCTCTATATGTCAAACCTTTGCACTTTTAAAGGGAATTTTACTGGGAATTATAGAATATTCATGAAATGTTTAGATCATGATACCAAAGAACATAAATAAAGTTTCTCCCACAAATCTAAATTAAAAGCACTACAAAGTATCTTACATGAGTGAACAGTCTTAATCGCTCCTCCTTTGAGCCAACATAGAAAATACATGATACAGATGGCAGCCAATTGTGAAGTTCACTCTGAACAAAAAGTTGTCATTATCAAAACATCCAAAAATTGAAAATATTCAGAACTAGTCAGCATAAAGAGAAACTTATGCACCTTCCAATTCACTAAGACAGCATTTGGAACTATAATGAGATGAGGCCCATAATTTCCTTTGAATTCCATTAAATAAGCAACCAATGCCATGACCTGAACAGAGAAAAATTATAGATTTTTAAATCAAAATGCTAAATAGCTAGTAGTAGCAACTCAGCAACTAGAAAACGTAATAAATTCCTGAAACAGGAATAATTAAAATGATAAACTAGAAAATATAAATCATATTGCATTTTGCATGCCCTGGTTTCAACTTCGCAAAAGTTTTTTCTCCAGAATACATAGCAGATGAGAATCAAAAAGAAGTAATCAATATAACAAGGAAACAAGAGGAAGAAGGAAAATAAATTAATTGGAAGCCACCTGTACAGTTTTTCCAAGACCCATCTCATCTGCTAGAATACCATTTAACTTGTTGTTGTACAAGGAAAGCATCCATTGAAGCCCAATCTGGGAAATTACGAAGGCATGGTAATTTGTATCTCTATTCAAACCAATTTTATGATAAGAACTTAGAAGCAACCTACAAGTTGATAGTCCCTCAAGGTTCCAGCTCTTAACATTGATGGTTGTCTGACAACTTTTTCATTGACAGCATGTGCCAGATTATAGTACCTAGGGACGCATGAAAAGTCTTAATTTCAGACATTATTAAGCATTAAGCAAAATATATTCATAAGCGATTTCCTGCTATCTAATGCAAGAAGCCAGCAAACATGTGAGAATTACTGTACAGACAAAAAGGATGGCAAGATTATACTGACTTGTTAACCGATGAGCCATCTCTCAGTGCATTCATCTCAGAGAATGTGTTCCTAATCAGTACCTCCTCTCGAGCACAAGCTGCAGCAGCTTTAACTTCTTCTTCTGAAAGGCCCTGTCAAAAAAGGATAAAATTACTTGATAATAGACTTTAACAAAAATAAAGCAAGTCAAAAGGCACAATCATTTGCTACCTGGGATCGTGCAGCAGCAGCAGCAACATTTGCTGCCTCTTCTACACCTCGTTGCTTCTTTGATGTTGTTATCTTGGTACCAAGTTTGTGAAGATACTCTTCTGTCTGCGATAAGAAGGATGACAGGACAGCATACCTTTGAGCTGCATCTCCAGGAATACTTGTTTGTTGCTCAAGAAGCATTTCTCTATATCTATCGACATCATTGTTTTTTAATGCCTCAAATCTTTTACTGCGATTATCATCCTTCCGCTTGGAGAACTCCCTTAACATTTTCTCATGATACTTAGCTATGCCCCTATTAAGAGTAGTTCGTACATCCCGGATAGCCCAATGAGTTTCAAGGAGCTTCTTGCGCCATTTGAAGATGGACTTTAGTTGTTTCTCCCTTGTCACCTTCTGTAACTGCTGCACTTGCCTAATAAGTTCTAACCGTTGGCGCTCGCACTGTCTAACAAATTTCCGGTATGGCCTGTCAGGCATGGCCATTATCTCCTGCTGTTGTTCATCCACTTCATCCCTGAGGCGAGACTGAATATCTAACAGACGAAGCTTTTTCTCCTCAATTTGTAGCCTCAAGACAAGATCAGGTTTAATTGTTTTCCTCTCCAAGTTAAAGGCAAGCAAATTACAAAGTTTTTTCATGTACACGGTCCCTTTTTTTTTTAGCACTTCCTTGCCTTCCTCATAAAGCAATTCATTTATGTCATAGGATAATGTAAAATTGTTCGAGTTGATTGACGTTGTCAGTCCCAAAAGTTCATATTTTCTTGTATAGAAAGGCAAATCAAAAAGTGGACCATAATACTTTTTGACATTTGATGGTGCTGTGGTAAGCTTCTTTTCATGCCCAACATCCACTGAAGAACTAGTCGAAGGAACAGATTTTCCCTTGTCAGCATCACTCTCACCCTTGAAAGAACTGTCATGATCAACATCTTGCTCAGCCTTTACAGAAACAGGGTAAATCTCTGGTATCTTCCCATTATTAACAGCTCCTGCATCTTCCTTTGGTGCTACCACTTCTAGCGGCAGGGGAGTTATCACTGGTGCTTTCTCCTCGCCAACAGGCAGCTTCTTTGGAAGAATGTGACCTTTACTCAGTATAGCATGCTGGGGTATGTTGATATGATCAGGATGCCTTTCATGCTCCACTGCATCTTGTTTCATAAAGTTTTCCTGTTTAGTCATCTTCGGAGAAAGTAGAGGAACCTGAGAGTCTGAATCAAGAGGAGGCGGTACAATTGATTGAATAAGTTCGGGCGGAAGAGCATTTTCTCCACGCTGCAAAGGGCAAAAAAATAACAATTAACTAGTTTTAAACGATCATCCAGAATAACAGGATGGCTGAGTAGCAAGATTCTCACGCATGTGGAAAATAATATTCAACCATTCATTCATGTAATCATGTTTCCACGTGTGAGGTGAGGTGCTGCTTTTCAGAATCTTTTTTGGGCAGGGTGCAGTGCCCTGAACGTTTTTTTTTTTTTTAGGGCTGGGGGTGGGGGGGGGAGTGTAGCAGTTGGATTCATGCATAGAATGTGGGGGAGTAGCAGGTTAAGTGGAACAAATGACTACCTTGAGTCGCCTAAAAGCAAATATTTGTGCTTTAAGAACAAGAAGTTGTTGCTTAGTAAATCCAACAAGTTGCTGTGTGGTCTGCCTTGACCCTCCTCTGGCAAGCACATGAATCCCTGCAACTTCACTTGATAGCAATGCAGACTGTGGACTTGGATGTCCAATGTTCTGAGACTTCCTAAAAGAAGGCATTTGAGATAAATTGGTTGCAGCTAATTTATTTTCATTTGAAAGATCAAAACATTGGCTTGAACTCGTAGAACCCTGTGGCAGATGCACCACTGATCCAGAACCACCAGTTGCTACTACATCACCCTTCTCGTTTTGAGTAACACGGGTCTGAACAGGTTGAGGCTGCTGCATATGCATATTCTTGGAATTCGGTAGATTGGTACCCACACCACATCTCACCAGCCCAACTGGACCAGATAGATTATTTATTGAATTTCCTTGAGCGGAATTTTCATTGACAACAGGTGATGAAATAGCCTGTGGCTTCAATGTCGACAAACTTGATTGTTGTGCAAGAGTGCTTCTGACATTTGGTTTCGGCATTTCAGTCAACCTATTTGACTGCAAAATGGGAAGAAACTGAGCTATCAGATTAGCATTGGCAGGATGCGTAAGATCAATATTGTGGTCCATCGCCCATGTTTGCATAGCTTGCAACTGAGCCATCATCAACTGCTGATTTGCAATGTTTCTCATGCTTCCTTGTGATTGCAGCGATTGAATTGGCCTAATCATGTTTGTTGGAGTAAACTGTCCAGTTGTAGTTTTTGGAGCCATTGGCTCATTCTTCTGACCATCACACAGATGGTCCTGTTCATTCTGTTTCTCACCACATCCGGTATGATCAGATGAATTACTAAACCTCAAAAGTTGTGTTTGGTTTCCTGTTTTAACATGCATTACTTCCTGCATTTTTAGATTTCCGGCTAGTACCTCTTGGCCACCAGTCGGTGGTCCCATCATGCCAAATTCATTTTGTTGCACTGGAACGTTGCCATGTGCTCTCTGCTGCTGTTGACCAGCTTGCATGGTAAACTGGGCATAAGCTTGGTTTATTGAGTTTTGTGGCTGTTCTAGGGCATGCCCAATTTGCTTTTTTTCGAGAAGCTGCCTTGTGGTGTCATGAGGCAAGTTTCTAGAAAATTTTGATGCAGGTACACCAGATGATGACGGGAAGTTATCATCACCAATGACTCCATGCATGGCACCTAAGTTATAAGTTAAACGATGCTCTTGTTCAGGTTTCCTTACTTGTGGTAGCTGCTGCCGCTGCTGCTGCTGCTATAGTGAATATGAAAAAAAAAAATTTGCCAAGTTCAGTAAAATCCATGTACATCAGCCACTACTACTTATTAAAAAGAATCAGGTTAACAGATTGTAGATAACAATTTTCTAATAATTATCTAGCTGTTCAAAACTTCATGTACATGGATGTAAAGGGACACATCAAACACAATGGACTCAACAGAAAACAACTAATTACACTTCCTAGACGAAAGAACTCATGCAGAAACTTTTGAAGTCTTCTTGAATTTTGAACAGCGAATTAACTGCCAGATATGGATGCCAAATTTAAAAAATAAAATAAAATTAGATATACAAGCAAGTTACTCTATTCTTAAGGACATTGAATAGATTAAGTTTCATCTAAAAAACAGTTCCTCATAAAATAGCCACAATCGCTCATGTCAAAATAATTGGTAACTGCCTTGTTTTCATAATTTGTGCCTCACGGAACTTTGACATCCCCATCGTTAGCTTGACCTTCTGATTCACTTGCTATCGAAGATGACTAGGCCCCCATCTGTGGGTGTTGTTGGGCTTGTAGACATGAGCAGGCTACCAATTATTTGTTATGCTCAAGTTGCCTTAGACTTTGCTTCAGTCAAATGGTAGCTTCAATCAATACTGCAGCTCTTTCATTTATTTGTAAGTAAATATTTTTATTTTATACCTTTCATTTATTTGTAAGCTTTTTTAAATCTGGCCATTCAATTTTGTTGGTCAAGGGTGGAAAAAAACAGGAATTGTTTTTTAAAACCCCCATTATTAATACCAGCCAGGAAAAAATTGAGATTTGATGTTAAGCTGGCAACTTTTCATAAAACTCACATCAAAATGAATGAACTGAAATAAAATTTGAATTTTGCTAGTTTTAGGGTGTTCCTCAAAAACAATGTGTCACAACCTAACCTGATAGTGGTGTGCAAAAAAGAGTTTTTTAGGACATCACTCCTAAATAACCTATCATAACTTGTCTGATTATGTTAAAAAGTACGAGAGTGCTAAGTAGGACATCAGAGCCAAAGTGACGCAGCATTTTTTTTTTTTTTTAAGAATGGGGGTATCTACTCGTTGCCACCCCCTTAGGAGGCGGATGGCGACGTAACTAATCCCTCGGCGGACCTAGCAGCAACAATCCCACAGACGTCGAGTCAATGCTTTGTATACTCTCCTCAAAGGAGGCGAGCTGCTCGTGAGAGGAATCGAACATGGGTGAGGGTTTCCAACCATGCTCGCCCACCAACCAAGCTAAGCTCGGTGGGTCGACATAACTTAATTTGATTGTGGTGAAAAGAGTTAACTAAGCCTAAATATATGATTAGATTTGTTCCAAACGGAGTAATTGGTGGACAAAATTTCAAATTTGACTATTCTCCAAGATATGAAAGAGATAAGTTGTTAGAGGAGACAAACTGGAATTATTTAATTAAGCCAAATTTGATGAAAGCTAAGATAATTCTATTAAAAAGATTATTATAAAAGTTCTAGAACAGTCAAAAAATAGATCGTACAATAATAAATAGACTTGATGGTGAGTCAAGTGCTATAAGATATTGTTAAGAAGCGAAATATTTTTTAAAAGAGTGATAACAAATTGAATACTAATGAGGCTTATAATAATTGTTAAAAATATAAATTCTTACAAAGAGTGTGAGCTAAGAAAAAAATAACACTTTCGATGAATAATATAATAGCTTAGTACTAAGGAAAAAGAAGAAGAAATACATAGAATAGATAAGACTCAATCTAAGAATTAAGAGGCTGTAATCAAGTTAGTTGCATTAGAAGCAAAGAAAATAGGATCTTAAATAAGGATGAAGATATAAAAGAAGGATGAAAATACTTTGAGAAACTAGTAAATGAGAATTTTAAAGAATAAATTATTAATATAATAAGGTATATTACAGCTTAATCCAAACAAATGGAGTTAACTTCAAATATGTGTAAAAGTTGGGCTTTAGGCCCATATGAGATATCTAATGAGGTTTGGAGAGTTCTAGGGATATCGGGATGGTTTGATTGACAATTTTTTTTAGGAAGTTTTAAACGCTAATGTGCTGTCAAATTATCTGAGAAGAAATATTTTGGTACCTATATTTACAAACAAAAAAATTTCAGGATTGTGTTACTAAAGAGGAATCAAACATATGATTCATAAAATAAAGTTACGGGAGAGAGTAATAAGGCATAAACTTAAAAAAAAAAAACATTAATCTAGGAGAAACAATTCAATTTCATAACACAAAGATGTACCATGTAAGCAACTTTTCTATTAAAATAATTCATAGAAAAGCATAGCAATAAGGATCTTCACATTCCAATAAGGCATATGATCAAGTGCTACAAGAATTGATTTGGTGCAGACTAAGAGAAAATGTTTGTGTTAAAGGTAGATTGAAGTGATTAAAAATATATATAATGGAACAATTACTAGTAATAAAAGTAGTTGAGTAACAAAGAGTTTACAATTATTGTAGGAATAGTAAAGGATTACATCAAGGATCAACATTGAGTCCATATTTCTTTATAATATGCTTATAAGGGATATTCAACTTAAGGTTACTTAGAATATGCTTCTTGTATATAACATGGTTCTAGCTGATGAGATATTAATTAAAATAAGTGAATAGTTACAAAAATAGTGCAAATATTTAAAAGATACAAGAATTACAATTAATAGCACAAACACTAAGCATATGACATGTAATTTTGGTGAATGTCATATTAATAATTAGTAATCAATATTATTAGAAAATAAAATAATATTTAATTGTGATAGGTTAAAATATCTAGAACTGTTAAATAGAATGTAGAGATCTAGGCGAGGGTACAACTCCTATGATTAATTTTAGATGATTAACATGAAGAAATGCTTTAGGAATATTATATGATAAGAATATATCGTGGAATCTTAAAGAAAAATTTAATAAAACTTCAACAATGTCATATGAGATGAGTGTTGTGACGTAAAAAAATTATTATGTCTAAGTTGAGTGTGCAGAAAATCAAAACGTTAACATAGATGTATTGCAAAACTATAAATGATATATTAAAAAATTATTATCTTAGATGAAATATTGCAGTACCTTCTATTAAAGATAGGTAATTGAAGTAGTCTGAAATGCAAAACAAAGAGTAAAAAATAAACCTACCGATTAAAAAAAACTAGTGTTTGACAATTATGAAAGAAAAAGGATAAACAATAGGTAACATGATAGAGTTGTTCAAAAGGGTTAACAAAGTATAGGTTCTAACATCTCAGACTAATAATCAACAAGAATGAATGTAAAATGCAATGCTTGACAGAAATGAGTGAAAATAAGGATTCATAAAGCCAACCAAAAAATATTTGGGATTGGGATAAGGCTAATGAAGACAATGATGATTTCTTGTTTCAATGCACGCTTGCTCAAATATATTTGGAGCGCCAATACCCTAGTTAAATTGAATAGAAGGGGCTAAGTAATTCTAAATCAAGGGACATTAAAGCTAATCTAATTTTAATCACTGCTTTCTACTCTAAGCATCAACATCAAAATGGAATGAAAGTCATACTATATGGAGCAAGTGATCTAGATTGATGCAAATGAATGGAGCATTAATAAACTGAGCAGAGATACTAGGTATTTATAGATGAACCCATTGTTCAAATGAAAAGAACACAGACTACATCAAAAAGCACAACATCTGTTAGCAAGAACATTAATAAGAGTACCATTCATGAAAAAATGAAAGTGCTATTGAAAAGAGTGGCTAACTAACTGGAGATAAATACATTACATACAGCTAAATTAACTACCGAATAGATCAAACAGTTAATCCTTTAAAAATTCAACCAGACTCAAAATGCCACCCTTTGAGTTTTATGTATCCTTCAAGTGTTTACCTTCCTTAGAAGGGCCAATTTTTTCAATTAATTTTACATCTTGTCTTACATGTGGATCGAGTGAGTAGAGACAGAATGAAGGGGTGATGATCTACCAAGTCAATTAATAGTACAAGAGACAACCACTAAGAGACTATCCACTTCATGCCAAATGCAATCCAGAATGACTATGCATAGTTAACCACCATGCTAATTCCTCCAGATAAGATTTTTTAAAGAAAGAATAATGGATTTTGAGTTCATTGAACCTCTTCAAAAGCAACATAAAAATTCTTTAGCTACATAAAATTAACTAGATCTACATTGCCATCATGAATCTACTCATTCAAACTCCTTTCTTTCAGTAGAAGTTTTTCTGCCATGCTAAGTATAAAATAAGCACATGAACAAAAAAATAATTGCAAAATTCCATATGGCCTAATCAATTAAAATAAGTAGTTTTATTTCCAAAATTAGTTTTTGCAAATTTAAGCTGATCTTCTATTCCGGCTATGGCGCCCCTAAGGATTGCTATGACTCCAATTAAACAAATTTTGAGCTAAACAGCAAATGAAGAAGCCAACATTTTAAATCCCAGTTTTGCTCTTCTTTCATCAAAAACAAAATGTGTAAGCTGAACAAATTTGCTTCTAAGACAAATTAATCGTGAAATACGAGTTCAAAATTCTATCAAAATCAAACTGAAACCAATTATTTTCAATTTGATTAGAAGAATACAATGTTGGAAAGAGTGAGAAAAGTAAGACAAATTGATCTATCAGCTACTGGAAAATTAGAATGAACAGAAGATTCAATAATCGGAAAATATAAGGGGGGAAAAAACGCTAATAAGAAATTTTGACGAACAAAAGATATCCCAGAATTTTGTGCTTAAAACACAGAAAACAATGACGGAAATAGATAAAAGAACATTGCTTTCTAACTTATAGCTTGCTCCAGATGAAAACCATTACAGAAACCAAAATTTCCATTGCGGCAACGAATGCAAATAATTTAGTATGTACTAAAATGAGCTGTCAGCATCCAAGATGCAATCGTGCTACACATTCATGAAGTTTAGAAGTAAATCCGAACTGAATGCTGTTTTTAAGTCAAAATCGATAAAAAACATAAATACATATAGAACCAAGTTTTCCATTAGACAGCCCAAACATCGAACTAAAAACTTACCTCAACTTCCAGAATAAGAAGCGGATACAGAGTTATGAGAAAGGAACATCAAGCAAATAATTGCTTGTTTCTTTTAGAGCACGACCACGAATGCCCGCCCTTTCAAAAATGAAGATACAAAGAAGAAATCGAGTGAAAACCAGAATCGCGATAAAAACACACATCGTCGAGAAAGTTGAGAACGAGAAACGCCATCAATGCATCTCAATGGTTGCAAAAGGAAGCAGTGGAGAAATGTAGCCATGAAGTTTGTCTGAAAATGAACTAGAAAAGGGTTCAGGGTGTACTTTTTAAGTTCCAGTAAAGAAATTTAATGATCAGGACAAGGAAAGGACAACGACGAAAAGTAAAGTAAAGCCACATGACCGAAAATAAACCGCAGAAACCAAAGCCGAGGCACCTAACAATAATATAAAATGTAAAAAATAATCCACAAGAGTTCACAAGTCACAGACAAGTCTGCGGTCCGTCACGGTTGCCCCTAACTAAAATGGAAGCCCATTTGCCGCCGCCTTTATAATCGGATACCTATGCAACTAACTCCCACGAAGATAACGCGCAAAAGAAAGAGGACGCGTAATCCCACTCACCTGCCTCAGCGCAAGCTGCTGCTGCTGTAGTGACTCAAACCCTAGATGCCTCGGAGCAGATACCGCAGATGAAGACGACGAAGGAGACGCGGTCGCCGATGAGGGAGACGGACCAGGCGGTGCCGGAGCCACCGTCGGCCCCCGCCCTCGCCCAACGGCTCCGCCCCCGGTTTGCATAGAGGGAACCTCTAATATAAGGATTCGATTTTATGTTCCGGAAACCCGTAGCCCTAAATAGTAAATATCCGCCAGCTCCCCCGCAATCCACATAAGCTTCACCCTTCTCTCTCTATCCAGCCCCCAGCAGACCAAAGAAACGCGGCAGTGATTGCAGATCGGAAAAGGAGACAAATCAACGGAAGGCGGCCGGAGGAGGTGGTGATTTCACGCCGAGCAAGAATCGCAGCCGCTTTTGCCAGTCAAACCCTAGAAGGCCTCACTGATTTTTTTTATTTCCATTAAAAAACTCTAAACAATTGTAGCAACCTCCTCTCGTATAAGAAATTATGATTGATACCTACTTTTGAGTTTCCATCTACCGCGGTTAATCTGCCCTAGCTATATACTATGAAAGCTGCTGTATTTTCTCAAAATAAAAAATAAATAATAAATAATTTATTGTAATTAAAGTTTCAATAGATAACATTTTTTAAAAACAATATAAATAATTGCGAAATGGATTTTCAGCACAGAGCTGATTTAAGAGTGTGGGGTCCACAGCTATCAATGTTGTAGAGGACGCTTTCGTCAGCGGCCCCACCACCATAAGGAAGGGAACGAAGAAGGTTGAGGAACGGCGGATGCGTCGATGCAGTGATAAAACCACAATTAGTATTAGATAATTGCGCTCTCTTTTTCAAAGTTTTAATTAAATTAGACGTCTAAAACAATAAAATAACTGTAATCCATCGCAAGGACTGGATGCAATCCGATCATTAAATAATATAGTCATATTTACATCATTTTTTGTATTTTTTTAGTGTAAAAAAATATGTATGTTTGTTTCTTTAATTTAAACATTTAATTAATTTAAAAAACTCAAATCAAAATTCTGACATTATTTTATTTTAAAAAATTAACACAACATATTTTTCCCAATAAATTTATATATTTTTCATCCTCAAACTTCATTGAATCATAATTCATACTTCATTGATAAATACTAATTTTTTGTTAATTGTGATAACAAACTTTTGTGGGGTCCTCCTTTAATCTTTAATTTATACTTCATTAATACTAATAGATAATCCCCTCCTCCTTATGAAGTGAATAGAATCAATTTATGTAGCAAACAAATCGTAAACCCTAAAAGATCATAAGACGAGTTGATCTACTTAGATTGTTTCCTATGGAGGTCCTTCGTGAGCTAGACCTATGCTCACCTTATTCTCCTTGAGCTTCAACAAAGGATTTGATTTTTTATAATAAAAAATTTATAAGAAGAACACCAAATATTTTTTATTTATGTTAAAATGTAAATAAAATAATTATAAAAATTAAAAGTCATCCCAAATGACAATTTAGCTGTTTGTTTTATTTCCTCAAATATTTTGAGTTGTTGAATATGGTTTAAAAAATTTCTCAAATGCTTTTGTTTTAGAGCTAAGTGCTTATAAAAGTACACATAATCCATGTTATAAAGAAAGTTGGAGTTGCGGTATACAACTTCTCAAATCTTTACTAAAAGGAAGGTCTCATGAAGTCAAGTGGAGGAGCCTCTTGACACACACACAATGCAGGTATATCACCTTAATTATTATTTTTTTTAAATAAGGCTTTGAAAAGGGCTTTTAATTCTTTTTTTTTTTAGATGCGTATCTATTTAATTTCAAACTCTTCCAACACTATCGAATATATTTTTCAAATTTAACAACAAAAAAACTAAAGATATTAAGATGACATGTCTTAGTTTATTTAGAACCTTGAGATGAGCAAATTTGGTAGCCCATCTCAATCATATGAATTGATTATTGATCACAAGTAGACCTGCACGCATACTTAGGTATAGTGATAAGGCATAACCCTTAGACATTTGGCCTAAGGTTAGGGTGCAGCTAGGTCCCTTCGATATATAATTCTTTTGGTGCACAATCTATATCATTGTGTGGCTAATTAGGCCTATTTAATGTGCTTCGATGTGACTATTTTTAAGCAATAAGATCAATATATTGTCTATGCAAGTGCATGACATATGACCATTCATTGTGCATCAATATTTTGAAGATGCAAAATCAAACATTGCTACTTAATTTAATAAAATGTCATGTAGGGGTGATAAACGAATCGAGCCAAGCTTGAGTAACACCTAACTCAAGCTTGACTTGTTCAATCAATAGTGAACTCGAACTTGAGCTCGAGTCGAGCTTATGTATTGAGCTAAACCCTAAGCCCTAAAGTACAACTTTTAAAATTTCTTTTAAATGATAAAAAACTAAATTTATTTTTTTTTTCTCTAGCTTTTTAAAATAAAAGCTGCAGTCGTTGCACTACATGACTTTTCTTTTAATACCAAATATAATTTTTAAAATTTTGTTTTAAAAAAATATTAATGACACGTGAGCTAATGAACCAAGATTTATTAAAAATAAATTGAATATACAATAAGGTATAAGTAAAGATATAAATAAAGATTTCAACCTACTACTGATGTAGGAACAACTTTAGTAGAATGTTCCTTAGGAATAGTTTATCATAATTTGTTATAAGTTGTTACTACTAGCTTCTAGAACGTTCCTTTTAGCCTATAAATATACAAGTATTGTAGTAGGAAAAGGATATTGATGAATATTATCCTCTTTTGAAGCTCCTTGTTTACCTTTGTTCTCAGGATTGAGATTTTTTTCTTACTAATCCAATTCTTCGAACGATCAAATGATTATCTCCTCACGTAAGTTGGAATCAAAGCCCAGAGCTTGTGAAGAATGATGGACTGCAGAAGAAGGTGGGTTGTCAACGACGATCGAAGCCGAAGAAATTAGGCTGTCGATAAAGATCGACGCCGAATAAGATGGGCGAACGATAAAGATCAACGTCGAAGGAGATGTGAGGTCGACGAAGATTGACACCGAAGAAGATGGTAGGTCAATGACGATCGACGCCGAAGGAGATGGGCGATCGACGACGATCGACGCCAAAGAAGATGGGAGGTCGACGACTATCCTCCACTCCAATGGGGAGATCCGCTGCCCCGCTATCCTCCGCTTCAACTTCCGCTCAAACGGCGGAATCCCCTGCCTGGCCATTTAATCCACAATCAACCTGCAACAGTCATCCAGGACTCGCCTCCGCTCTGGCCCCATTCCATCGCCCATGATTCTGCCTCCGCATCATCTCACGACCAAGACCGCAATTCCTCTCCATCTTGCCACCATACTCGACATCCCAATACCCTCCAGCAAGATTCTACCTCTACCACTCTGCCATTGCCACTCACTCCCAATCTGGCTAGTCTGGCGTCGTCCCTTTGCTTCCCCAACAAGCCCACGCGACCTTTCGCCATTGATATCAACTTTGTCGAGGGAAAACAATTCACCGATTCTGACTCCACTTCCTTCGCTTTTGCCTCAATTTTCTCCTGCGATCCAATTTTGCTCCCGCAGGAACCACCCAACCTCCTTTACCTTCGAAGATAATCGCGCCTAAATCAATCTCTACCATTCCAGTGCTCCAGCCCAATTTTATCTCCCACCCCCTACTTCGGCCCAGTGTTCAAGTGGAACACCACTCCTAACTTCCTTACCCATGGCACGAGCAGATCCGCCAGCTCATTCTGATTCCACCCCGCATTCCTCTAAACACCAAGCCAATGAACATGATTTACTTCCACTAGGCTCTAGTTCGAGTTCCTGGGTTAGTTCTAATGGCAAAGATAAAGATAGTTTAAAGCATGTGTCCAAGAACAAGGCGTCCATAATTGGAATGGCTTCTTTGCATCTTGTTGAATATGTTTATACCTCCATAGAATAGCTTAAGCTTAATCTTCCCTTATTGAGTATAAGTTTTGATGCTAGTTCTCAACCGTTGAGAACCTATTCAGAATCATAAGAGACTTATTATTAGGATGAAGGTCGTGATGACAGACGCTATGCTGGGAGTGAAGATGTTGATTACATCTATCTAGTGGATTCGGTGGTCAATACAACTTCACATGAGACCCATTTTATGGAGGTATATAATGATTTTCATACCTTTAACATTACTGAAATAAATACAAATGATATTGAAGTGTGTGGCAAAGCTGTTGGAAGTGGTATTGAGAATGTTTTCCCTGCAGGTATGAAAATGTCCAGTCTGAATTCAATTCACAAAGCTAATTCAGTGCAATGCTCCAAAACTATCATTTTTTATCCAAATTTATTGGGCCTAGAGAGGAGGCTATTGGTTTTATCCATAATCAAATACTTAAGATTTTAAGTCTTCGTGGTAGTGAAGCATTTGAATCAAAACATCCGAAAGCAGTCGACTCAATAAGAGCGTTCTCCCTTATGTCTATTTCTTCATCCACTGCTTGTATGGAGTACACGAGCGTGTTACAGGGATGAAGAAAAACTGCAGCAACATCAATTAGTGATTACTACATATCCACGGTACACCCTCATACTGCTAAGATGAAGGATTTTCAAATTTCTAGAAATAATCTTAATGAATCTATACTTGAGTGGATCAGGGAGCTATCCAGTTTAAAGCTAAAAAAAAATTAAAGGGATGTCTTTGGAGCTGAAGGTTTCAGGCCATCCATTTATTTGGGTGATTCGACACCAAGGCTATAAGTGGATTCCTGAAGGATATGAAGAATCCCATTTGGGCGTTCATATTCCAATATCATATGACCCCTTTATCATAATTTGTTATAAGTTGTTACTATTGGCTTCTAGAATGTTCCTTTTAGCCTGTACATATGCAAGTATTGTAGTAAGAATAGGATATTTATGAATATTATCCTCTCTTGAAGCTTTTGAAGCTTTGTGTATGTCTTTGCTCCCTGGATTGAGATTTCCTTCTTGCTAGTCTAATTCTTCCAATGATCCAACGATTATCTCCCCACATCAACTACACATTCTATATCTAGGGTTAGATGGACTAACGAGCACTTAGGATGACCTAAAAATATGTTTTGGCCTAAATGAATTAAAAATAGTCAAGATGATTGAGGTGACAGGAGGTAGCAGTATAGGAAATCCTAACCCTTGTGTCTTACTGTGCTTTAATTTGTGTATAAACTTAGGATTAGGTTGTATTGTGTAGAGCTCAATTGCTCTTTTCTCTTTTTTTATTGGAAATGCATTTGTAAAATTGAGTTGCACCCTCTCTTTTATTTTTTTAATTATTTTGGCTTCTTGTATTTTAATATTTTTTTAGTTGTTGTAGGTTGCCTAATTCTGAATTTTTATTATTGTGTAGTTTAATTAAAAATCATCATATGTAGCGATGCGCAATCAAGCTAGCTTTTTTTTACAAGTGTAATAAATTGATAATTAAATTAAAATTAATGTAGAAAATGATTTTCTTAAAATTAAATGCATGCCTTTAGTGCC